GAGGGGCGCCGCTCCGGGGCCGCACGCGAGACCATTCCTGCACCGAGCAGGGCGGGCTCCGCCGACGCGGCGCAGCAGTGACCGCGGCTGCGGGACCCGAGCGCAGCCTTTGTGACAGGAGCCCTCAACGGGACCCTGCCGTTCATGTCACCACCGCAGCTGGGGCCACCTGAGCCTGGAGGCTGCGCGAGAGAGGCTGAGCTGGACCCGGCCGACCCGGACGATGGCTCCGGTCACCCTTCCTGCCAGCTCCGTTGAGCCAGCCCGTCTCCACCTGCTCTTGTCTCTTCCCTTCCAGCTGTAGTTCCCTGCCTTTTCCCAGTCCCCTGGTACTTCTGAGAACATTTCTCCAGCGACAGCACCGCCTGAATCCACATCTGCTCCTTCGACCTGCTCTTGTCCCCTCGGAATCCACATCTGCTCCTTCGACCTGCTGTTATCCTCTCAGTTGGTTCTCCTGCAAATCTGCTTGCTCCCTATTGCAGCCTGAGCGTTGGTGAAACGTTGAACTTGCCCCACAACAGACCCTAATGATACATCCTTGTACATCCTTGCAGGGTGTCAGAGCGGCACCCGGGGTCGTTCCTGTTCCCCTGCTCCCTGTAGGAATGTTGTGTGAGACCGTTCACGGTGTTCCGCTGGCGTCGGGATGTACAGCACGGCGCTGCCTTCCCTGCATCCGTGACGCTTATTGTGCTGAGACAGGAATGACGCTGATTTAGCACAGCTGGTTCTTCCGAGCCCATGCTGCCTGCTAGTTATCGCTTTTCTTCTAGATGCTTTAAAAAAACTGTTGTTTTGTTAGTTCCAGGATTTCATGGGAATTAAAGATCAGTTACCTCATTTAATAATTCCTTGGATCTTTCCTCCCTCCTTTTTTAAAAGATGAGAGTTATATTTGCTCTTCTATTTTTCCCTCCCAAATCACCTGGATTGCCTCCCGTGTTATGGAGCTTTCCCAGGACAGTCCATCACGGCTCCAGGCTTCCTGACCCGGTTCAAACGCCGTTCTCTTCCTTTGTGTCACCGATTCCATCGTGTCCACTGATTTGTGTATTCCTTTGCCGGTTATATGTGCGGAACAGTAATCTGATAACGAACTCAAGGTACTATTTTCCAGTGGCCATCATAACTTCATTAGTGTATCACAATATAAAGTCCTTAACCTTACTCTGTTATTTTAAAATTAAATAACTAACTTCTTACTATCACTTCTCAATTGAAAGTTCCCATTTTTATTTAGACAAAAATAAAGAAACTGGTTATGTATTTTTTCAGCATGACGCTATCCTGGATCTTTGCTGACCCTCCTTCATCTCCTTCCCCACCTGGTTTCTGTGGTTTCTTGCACAGTTCTTGTCGCTCTGCTTCCCCGTCCTTCTCCTTCAACAGGGTTTGGGATTTGGAACTCCGCTCCGTATGCGCGTCCGTGCGCAGCGCTCAGGAGACGCGCGGGGTTGGCAGGGTTGGTCCTGCGTGTGCCTGGCACTGCCGCCCTGGAGCCGGCGCCACGCGCGGAGCCGCGTCCCTGGCGTCACCAACCCTCCTGGCCGGGAGGGGAGC